ATAGATTGGAGAAACATGAAAAATGAATTATCGATTTTCATTCATCCAATGTGCTTACTTGTTAAAACCATCCAAGTTGTAAAGTAGTTGAATTGGCGAATTCGGAGTGAAAATATCAAAAGGTCTTTAGGCATTATTATTATTATTATTATTATTGAGTTCAGATATTTGTTAGATATTTCAAAAATTAATTACTTTATAGCGTGTATAGAGTTTAGTGCGTAAAACTTGTGTTTCATTAATGCACGCCATAAGTGCAATAATTTTGACTCTCATTATTGGTAAGAAATGGAGAGTCGTGTCTATCTGGTTAGCATCTCCAACCAGCCTAGTCAGCAGTCCATTCGGTTAAGAAGCCAGCACATTCATCATGCACCTTTTATTATCACCACAAAAAGACTACTAATTGAGGTGGTCATTGTGATTTCTCCCACTGCTAACTGGAATCCCTGCAGAACACAACAAAAGCACTGTGGAGATTTGAGTGACAGATTGGTGTGTGCTAAGTTCAGATTCATTTATTAAAAGACAACTGCTTGAAAGCGACCATTCAGGAGGGAATCATGACGTTATCTGTCTGTCTGAGTGAAATGTCTTGCAAATAAAACGGATTGAAATTACTCAAAAGGTAGGACAATGGTGTGATATTCCCGAAGGGTAGAAGAGAACCAGATGAGTTAGTATTGACGAAAAGTACGTTGTTTTAATTTTTTTCGACTTTTGCGATTCATTCGATAGAGTGGTCTCTAAATCTCTTTGACCTCATAAGGTAATTCTATAACAAACTGTACCTAACCAACTCAATTAACTCAAGTATTTCTTCGTATCTAGCCAAACACTACTTAAAAAGATTAAACAAATTTTACTTTCAAGTACTGTATGGAGAATAAAGCTTGACGGATCTATAACTTCATCTTAATCATGAATACGGTTTCGTGCTCAATAAGTCCTTAGTTCCTGGTTCATTTTGCCCAAGCAATGCTTCAGTCGGGGGTGTTGGCGGTTTCAATCATGTATTTATTGGATGGAACTGAGCCGCAGTTTCTGGTTATTTTGTTCAGATGACTTCGAGCAGATCGGGTAAAAAATATCTCTGGATGGCAGTGCTCACGAACCCAGCTCATTATTCGTAGGCATTTCATATTTCACAATCAGGTCTACTTTGTTTAATGCAAGGAAAGAGTATGAAATATTAGAGAGTTGGAACGTTGGTGCATATCTCCCTTTTTAGGGATTAGAAGTGAATAATTATTACGTTTATATAGTTAACAGTTGTTTCGCTTTTCTTTCCAATATACATCTAGATGCAATAAAAGCCATTCCTTCCATTAACCACGTGTCGGGCTGATATTACTAGGTCTAACTTATAATAAAATATCTGAACATAACAATAGGGTGGCACATTAAAGCCCCCAGAGTAATGGAAACACTTTGGCCTTTTGGATAGGTGATAAATAAGACCGGTGATTTCCGGGTAGAAAATGAATATATATGTATGTGGAAAATATTTGAGATTTTTTAGTTGACAATTTGAACATTTGTTCTTTTTACTAATGTGCGCTCTTGTACGTGACACTTTTGTGTGAATTGTTACCTAAAGTGCCGGTTTCTTAAAATTTGTCTCTCTCTCTCCCTCTTTGGTTTAAAAAATTCATTCCCTGTTGTAAATCTGCTTATCTCGTTTAAATATTGATCTTATCGCCACACACTACTCCTTATCTGATCCTAAGGGTCTGTGTAAGTCCTGCATGTGAACGAAAAGGAAAATTTGTTTAAATTGGTGAGCAGATCACCTGTCCAATAGGCGTATTTGCGAATAAAAACACGCCGAGGATACGCCCTGCATCTAGATGGGATAATATTACTTAATTCAATTAACTATCAAAAAAGATTCACCTAGTAAGCCGGCATCTCAAGATATTTCTTCGTCGGATCAATGTTCTTACACACTACTGCTTCTCGCCTGTCTACAAATAGGCATCGTTCTTTCGATCTTAACTAAACTCCTAGATATAGATGGTTGCAAACTAAAACTAGTTCTATCGCCATTTGTGCTGTGGGGTGAACAGTTTAAAGATTTTTTTTAAAATAACAGTCGTGCGCACTGGGCAAAACTGAATATTGGGACATTCGAGACACATAATGCTATGCCTGAGAGGAATCAGCTACATCTCCACAATGTATGCGTCCTCCTCCTCTGTTGAGGCTGTTAGCAAGCCATGCTTTCAACTGGTGCAGGTAACAAATTCCCTTGTTCTTTTATATTTCATTTTATAACTATCTCAAGCCTCTTTCCTCTTTACTTAGGACAGAGTTACCCGATTCAACACAACATTAACATCATTAGTCCAACTTATCCTAATTTTTAAAGCAACTTTTCCGTGATTAGATTATTGGGTTTGAGATAGTGTCCTTATCTCCGGTATTCAGGTGATATTGACTGATTTAATTGAATCCTTGATTATGCTGGTTCTGTGGGGTTCTAACAGCCTTCAACAGGTAGGTGAGACTGGAGATGATATTTAAATAAATTGATGATCGCGAGATTTTGCTCATGGCGAACTCTAACTGGACTTGTAGCCTATATATATACTTAAATTGCGATTTTCGATGACTCAACAATGAATATGGTTTTCTTTGTACGATTCTATCAAATCAGATCCAAGTTAGCATATTTTTTTTCAAAACATTTTTTGCTTCCCCACTTCAAGACGTTTCCGAATTAGCCTTTTAAACTCTATCATTAGACGCAAATAATTTATTGATATTTTGATTATTTTTTTGCATACACGCGTATATACGTAGACGTGCACTTTACGCTTTCTGATCAGTGAATAAACATGCACTTTTGTGAATAACCACTTAAATTGTGCATAAAGCCATAGCTGGTGAAAAGTATTAACTTAAGTACACAAAGTAGCTAAATAGTTAAATTTATTAATTAGTTAGACTTTATTCTGTCACTTTCGAGATCTCATTTCCGTAAAATTCACTACTGATATTGAACGCTTGCGATTATTTAAATATCAGTGACACTGGCTTTTGATTGGCCAGTTGTTGCAAGGTATTTAACGCATATCTGCTTTCTGATTGGTTAACCCAAAATGTGAAAGTTGGTTTAAACTTTTAACGGGAGATTGGTTATGTATTGACAACGACTCTTATTAACAGGGTTATACGAGTGTGTAAGTTGGCCATGTTGATTTTTTAAAGTCATTTACGATAACAATGATATTTGAAATTATTCTGCCTTCATTACTTAATATTTAAAATATTTTTTACGTACGGTTTCTTCAGAATGACAGGCTTTTGAATTTATAAATAGATATAGTTTTTTCAAACTGCACTTTTTATCGATAATTTTATGAAAGAAAGGTCTAACAGTGGCGTGGCTGCTTTTCGAATAAAAACATAAGAATGTGCCCACGTTAGTGAATGGATTATTATAAAAAAATAATAACAGATTAATTAATTATTTAAAAAAAATAGTTGTTTAAAACCCATCCTTTCATAGACCATCGTAACCGCACTTGCGTTTCTCTGGCCTCCGAATGGTGCTTGTAACAAATAACTGACCTTAACCTATTCATAAAAGCTCAGTAATGACTAAGTTAAATCTTCATAAAATAGCAAAAGATGCTCCCCTTCGGAGTAATTAAAATTGCAACTAAAAAGATTAATATGAATTAGATAAATAACTTAAATCTATTTAATTTACATCACGTTTAGTTAACCTGAGGAATCGAATTATACTACAATTAAACTTTCACCCGATTGCGTTAAAACAAGGATTCTCGTTTTGGGCCTTTGAGTGAGTTATTTTGGAAAAAATATAAATTTTTAGACAGTCAAGCATTTGTAATGACTGTCAACAAATCAATCTTAATTTGAAATCCTTTTTTTCAATTTTTACTAAATTAAATCTGGAATAGAGTTGAAATGAGGGTAGAAATTCACGATTTATGGCCCAAATCATCCACTCCATTTTTCTTGGTTACTTGAAGCACATGATTGTTGGTAATTGGTTGGCTTAGGTGACTAGCATGTTTTATTATTATGATTGATGCAAGCAGAATAGTTACACTTCCTTCACGTATTAATATGTTTCGTAATTCTACCCATTAATTACACCAAAATAGCTGGCATTTGGTGGCTTAAATTATTTGAAGTTGGATCATGTTTATAAAGCGCGTAAGTTGGCATGAATCGCAAATTTCAAGTTTACTTCATTCATTATCTACGATTATTGAAATTTATTTATTCAGCAATTTTAAGAACAGATGTAATAATTAAAGAGTAGGCAGAAGGTTACTTTGTAGTAATTCACTGTGTCATTTAAAAGTGTAAAGTATAAAGTCCATTTATTTAAAGGTCATATTGACTATATGAATAGAAAGGCATGATGCGTTGAGGCCCAAGTTCTAACACTTCATAAGGGGAGAGTTCCGGATGTCGTTAATATTACCTTATCTGCATCTTAACACGTTTTCTCACCATCACCACCACCACCACCACCCCCAAATGCCCTCCAGACTTGTTGTGTCCGACGGGAATTCCCAAACATGCAGGGATCACAGAAGTGTTTTGTCTGCGTTTATATCACGCTTGTTTATCTGGCTAATGCTGTCTTTACCGCAATATTCTGATTCAAAAATTTGTGGGGGGGGGGGAGGTTGGAGGAGAGGGGGAGGGGAGGGGAGGGAAGGTGGAGAGGTGAATCACGATGATGACAGAAGTGGGCAAACTTTCTCCCACCCCTCGGATTGCCATTTGGCCTAATTTGCAACTGATCGCTCGCCACTACTTGCCTCTTTCTTATGTGCAGGCATTGATCATGTTCTCTGCTGTGGCATTTAAGTTTTTATTTTTTTGCAGAAAGCAAATGAGCAATATCGCACTGTTGGATACGGGAAACGGGAAAAATAATGATACTGATTCTCCCTCGGAGAATGTAAGTCTTTGGCTTTTCTTAATTACTGCTTACTTGAGGTTGTGCACAATTAATTTTATATATATATATATATATATATTTCAAATGGCAGGCGTTTTGATAGATATCATTAGCCATTTAGCTGACTTCGGTCTTCACAGAGGGAAGGTTCATCAAAGAGCGATTCACAGATGTAAAAGAGGCAGACAGACACAAAGGTAGAGAAAAAGGTAAGGTGAGTACTGTGAAAGGGGTCGAATATGACAACCAGGGGGGTCGTGGTAGTTTGCGTCAGAAGTCAACTGCCGATAAAATGACTTTTTTGCCATGTGAGTATACGTTGCCCAGTGTGCACCACGTGGAGGTAAGTCTATCGCACGCCCCATATATATATGCACGTTTATACGCTATATAGGGTCTTAATTTGTTATTGTAATAGAATAACGCTTCCAGAGAAACAGGATTTTTGATCGAATGAAAAGTTGAGATATCATTTGCATTTGCATAAGCTGCGTGGTATATTTGGCTACATCAAATAAATATCACTCTCTCCACGTAACAAGTGCCTGTATTTGCTTGGAATGAATAGATAATTTCAGATCAAATCTAACGCACCTCAGCATTTGTAGAAAATGCCTGAAGATTATTTTTTAGGAAATTTTTGAACCATTTCGATTACCACCTGTCTGTGATTTAATTTTCACTTGTAGTGAGCAGTGAAGCTCCCTGCAGGATTCATGACCCGGGTTTTTTCTTCTTTTTTCCGTCCCTAAACACCAATTCATCATTTGCCTTTGGCACTTCATTGTTGTATTTACAGAGGGAATCATTGTTGAGGAAAGGGCAACCATCTCAGAACTGTAAGAGACCTGCGAATTTCCATACCTTACGAATGAAAGTGCTCCTTTTTGTGCATTTAAGATCCAATGACACAATTTTACAGACGCACTCTGTAATGAACCCCAATTGGGGCTTCGTACGATTAGTGGGTGACAGTTTTCCACTACAGTACTCAGTCTAACTCACTGTGTATCGGCAATGATCCGAATTCAGACATATGCAAATAAGCCAGATAACAACGCAACATTTACACATGACAATGGCAGCACTGATTCAGATTAGGCTAGTCATTCAAGAGCACAAGGAATTCTTTGTTTGATATCATTCATATATATATATATATATATGCGTGTGTGTATGTGTGTGTTTCAAGGTATCTATCACCAAAACGATTGTTTATTTCGGCAATTTTCAACTTCCTACACTTCAGTATTTTTTCAAGCAAAAAAAATATATCTTCACCTAAACAGCGACTTATATTTGCAGACTTTTATTCAATTTTCCAAAATGGGATACTTAACTACTTCGAGTGAGAATATTCCTGCATTTCTGTCTGGTATAAGAAAGTAATGGGAAATAGATAAAAATGAAATATGAGTATGGTCGTTACTGGCAGTGAAACAATTCCGAAACCATGGATAAAATCAATAAATTGATTTCAAAGATCCCGCTTTTAGAAATCCGGGCTAACTTTCGAATCTCATAAATCGAAATTCGGCACTCCCCCCCCCCCCAAAGTAAAATTTTATCGAGTTTATTATAGCATTACTTTTATTAATCTCAAAATTAATTGCAATTACTAATTGCCCCAAAGGATATTTTATTTTTTATTTATTGCCTTTACTTTCACCTGGAAACAAGGAAAATGACGAAGCATCGGTCAAAGCGAAGCTACTGAAACGAGCAATGACCTCCAACACCAGTTCCCCTCAAATTAAAATAATGCGCCAAAATTCTATTGAAGTTAGGAAAAGAAAAGTAAGTTATTAAAATTAACTTACTTCATTACTCTTTTATTCTAATTACGCTTATTTTTTTAAGCACACAAATCAACGCTAAGTTGTTTATTATTAATTAATTTTTCTTTTTAAATCCTGTTTGCATGAATTTTTTTTGCTTACCGGTAATATTTCAACTTGTTAAAATACGAATTTGTCTTCTTTACAATTGGTAGGCTAAATTTAGCGAGAGTAAGCAATGTCCTTGTTTAAAGTTTTAGACATACATTTTGTCCTGCAACATAGGAAGGCATATACATCATCCTGTGCAAAAAAATACTTAAAATTCTTCTTTGTCTGAAGCAAACCATCATCTTACCCCCGTGGCTGCCGGAAAAAAGCCATTTTTAAAATTGTCTAAAATAAGCCTTGAATTTTGACATAAACATTTTAAATTTTAACTTAGGAGGTCAAAGCGCAATTGTGTCAAGGAGGGTGTTGTGGGGATAAATGTTGCAGAACAGCATTTAACTGTTTTCACTAAATGTGTTAAAGGTGTTCAGACCCAATGCACTGTCTCTCTAATCTCGAAACTCGCCTTCATTCGTTTACGCGATGACAATGAGAATTGATATTGATTCGAAACCATATGAACTATGAAAGGAAAAAAAAGATTAGCATCAAGATGATTCGTACCGGAGGTTAAACTTAGTGGATTTTTGTCACTATTTGTCTGAATCTCCTGCTCGAGGGTGTTGGAACGCCCTCCAAGTATGTTATGGCGCTGGTAACGCCGAAATTCGATGCACTTGAAAGAACTTCAATAGAGGGGAGATGACCACTTGACTGTCGAAGAGTTTTAATAAGATTGACTGTCATTTACGTCTATTGTAATCTCAGTCTTGGCCCTTCAGCAGTCAAGCTGACTCTGTACATTCTTTCAGCATGGTCTTAAAATCTGCTTTGATTCAGCTTATTAGCAAGTTAGCTTTTGTAATACTGGCACGGCAACTGAAATCTTTCTGAACACAGTGCCCAATGCAGGTGTGGTTGTCAAATGGGTTAACACCTGAAGAGGAATGTAGTTGAAGAGGGCCGTGATTTCAGTTGCTAAATATACGCTGAGACTGAGGTAATTGCAATAAATAACTAACAATCTAGTTTCACTTCCCTAAGGAGGTGTTTCATGGGGGCGAATTCTGGTGCTACCATGTACATGATCAATGACTGGCTGCAACCGTTCGTTTACTACCATAGTCTTCACACATTCCATCCACCTATCTGAATTCAACCCAAGCAACTCTTTCCTACAAAATCTGAGGAGGGAGGCATTACCTCTTATCACCCCCCCCCCCCACCCCACCCCAGTGGTAGTTCGGGCAACCTTAGTCTGCATTACATGAGGTGCATCCTTTCGTCCGGACGTTAGCCAATCCCTTTTTGTATCCTTCATGTCATACATTTCAGTTTGACAAAAGATTTTACCATCGAAATAGGACCAGATTTTTGTGCTCCAGAATGTCCCAATTTGCTGAGAAATTGGTTCATCATTTCCAGACGACTTTAGTGAGTATTTCGGGGGGGGGGAGAGGTTGACCTCTGCGACAATCGCACACGTGTGGAGTTATTGAAGGTCTTCAAGCGTCGCTGTAGAGGCTGAAACACAGAATCATAAAACAGAAATAAAGTCCTAATTTCGATGCCAGGGTGCTTCCACAACCACAATCAGCAGAGTTTCTTTAAGCAGTGTTCATATTCTTCTAACTGTTTATTTACGATACGAATCATCATGATGCTAGGCTTTTCTTCTAGGGTTCAGATGATTTGTGGTTATCATCCATTTTCTTTGTCATCGTGTAGAAGAATGAAAACGTATTGTGCCTGAACACCATTAACACCATTTGATAGAAATAGATAAATATCATTCCGCAGTATTTATCCCCGAACACCCCAATTGAGAAAGTACTTAATTGCATTACAATCAAATAAATCATCTTAGGATATAACGTAATCGAATCACTCACACCTGCCTAATTGTAATCCTTAGCCCAAGGAATATCTCTAAACAGATTTTTTTGATTGATTGATTGGTTGATTGTTTGATTACTTAGCACTTAAAATTTGTCCTTTATATTTTTTGTTGCCTGACATATAACAGTACTCTAGCAACTTCTCAATTTTTATTTTAAAGTTATTTTTCTTTTGTTTGCTGTTAAAGAACAGGGATATCGTAATAAGCAGATGTTACTGACATATTATGCACGTTTAACTTAAAGTCAAAGTTTGTTAACTTACCATAAATAAAACTTTTCTCTTGCGCATTGTCATATTTAATTTTCACACTAAATTGTACAACCGAGGCATAAATTCTGAAGTGCATATTTTTTTAGGATGTGATGGTATTTTCCCTGTCATTTTTTCTCAAGTTACTACTTCTCCCTTAGAATTTTGTTGTTACCAAGATGTTGCAGCATTAAATAAAGTCCACTTATAGATTTTACCCAAGGATTTGGGTAGGACACGTTGGGTTTTGACGATTTCCGTTCAGAAGGATTGATATTTCCCATATATATATATATATATATATATATATATAAGTTTTAAGAGAGCTAATTTTCAATTGCCAATAATCTTTATCATTGTGCTGTCACTGTTTTGAGTGTGGTATTATTTAAGAAACGATAGTACTTTTTACAAATTCTTTCTCCTTTTGGGCGTGCGATCAATACCATGTGCCATAAAATGGTTCTCAATTTTTATCACACGAGCAATGGTTGGTATAAATCCTTTTGTGATATTACTAATAAAACGATTACTCAACTACAGTTTATGGTAACTAAGTAGACACAATATGGTGTTTTAAGGATTATTACATGGGGTATTTTGAACTTCAAAGGATTCTGTGTGTTGGTGAGTCACGCATCGTCACTTTGAAAAGAGCTCCACTTACTCGGTTCAGACTCCCAGAAATAGAGGAGCTGAAATCTGTGGAAATTGAAATTTTACCACGGTGGTAAAATCTTTCGGCCTTATTCATAATTTTGTCTTATTTAAAGTAATTTCCCGGAAAAAACTCCAATGGGAAAACCTGTCTCTGAATTGATGATTTTCCTATTGAGAGAATGGATTTGCTTGTTTAAATTGGGATATTTTTAGCAATAACCGAGTTCTGCTTAGATGCAACGAAATTATTCTTTTGTAGTTTCTTACCACTAAACTATTTAGATATTCTTCAAATATATCCTTATATGAAAATGGGCTTAAATTGTCTTTTTAATAATACTTTAATAAGCCTAACGTAAATTACCAAGTGAGCGAATATGATTTGTGAAAAAAGGGTTTTACCACTTTTAAGAAAATATTTGTTTAAGATTTGTGATTTCTACAATCTCACTATTGTTTAGCTTAATGATCTAAATGAAATCATTAAGTTGATAATATTTTAAATTTCGGATTTAATTAAAAAACAACTAAGAACACTCATTCTGATCCTCCTTCACTAACGACCTCTCGTATGATTAATTATTGAATATTAGAGCTTTCATTATTTCTAATTATCAACATTTACTAATTACTCATTAGTAATCTTATCGTTAATTTTTTTGCCTTATCTACTGCAAATGTCAATTTGTGCAATCCCATTCAGTTCAAAAGTTGTGATTAGTAACCTCTTGAATAACTGATATCAGCGGCACTGATCTTCATTTAATTATATTTTTTTTACTTTCAGCAAACAGACCCCCGTAGACGATTCACCTTCATCTCAGATTGGCCCCACTTGACTACCCGTGGATGGTATCGTTGTCAACTCTGCAGCGTCTACGAATGCCGAAGGGAAGAATTTGAACGACACTTACGTAGTGAGGCGCATAAAATAAAACGACGAACGTAGGTAATTCAATTAACTCCTTATATAGTCTCTTGGTTTTTTTCCCTGATAGGGCAAAAGACTGTGGACAAGACGATGCATCGGCCTATTTTTGCGATGGTGAAAATGAGCAACATTCCCTCGAAACTGATATTCAATAGCTACTCCAAAATCCCCTACTTCCCCAAGATTTATTTGTGATACACTCGGATACTTTCCTACTGAAATGTGTATTTATTACTACTTTTTGATCAATCAACCATTATTATTTCCACCCTATTACCTGAAAATGCGATCTAAGTACAGTCCTATTGGCTAATTAATCAGCCAGTTATTATCCATTCATCACGATGTATGCTAGGAAGTGGTTTTTACTGTCAATAGAAATGCGTTGTTCTATATAATATGTCCACTTTCTTCTGAATTTTTTTTGCGGGTGCAATCAGGCTATTTTGACAATGTTCATTTTAGATTAAATTATTTCTCTAACCTTCAAAGTATCCCAACTCGCTGGTCGTTTTAGAAGAGGAATGGATCACTTTCTTTCCATTTTATTAAACACTTGCCAATTTTAAATTGAATGATCATTGAGCAAAACTGTTGGATTTTCTCTCTTGAACAATTTATTTATTTATATCAAATGGCAGGCGTCTTGATGGTTATCATTAGCCCTTTAGTTGACTTCAGACTTCACAGAGGAGAAGGAACATCAAATTGAAAAAAAGTCGAGAGGGGGGGACAGAAGAGTGTTTCAAAGATGTAAGAGACAAACACAAAGGTAGAACAAAGGTAAGAAGAGTACTGTGGAAATAGTCGAATATGGCATAGAGAGAGGTGGTGGTAGTTTGAAGTGAGAAGTCAACTGCCAGTTAATAGACTTTTTTGCCGTATGAATATACCTAGCCCAGGGTGCACCACGTGGAGGTAAGTCTATCGCACACCCCTCTCTCTTGAACAAAATAATCAATATTTGTGAGGATTTGCATTTTAAATGGAAAGAGCACTTTCTCTGTGATATACTAAGTAAACCCAAGTTAATTAGTGTAATGACGAAGAATCAAGCGGTCACAATAGAAATTTAAATTTCACAGATTGCAATAAGCCGCTTATACAATGATTAAGAACTTTGGAATTGAATGGCACGTTCCACTTTTTGCTAAAGAGTGCAGATTTGTAGCCCTGGAATAGTGTCTGAACAAAGTAGTTCGATAATGGATGAGGCATAATAGAGTCGAGATGACAGAAGTTTCCA